TCAGTTGCTTTGCATTGGACTTGAGTGGCTTCCAAAATTCCTACCTAACAGTAAAGTCTACAAGGCCCCACCTATCCTTGAACACTTATGTCTGTACCTGAGCCTTTTCACTTTCCATTCTCTCATCATTTCCTGGTGGCTTGGCCATGCTGGCCTGTTTAAGGTTCCTTTAGCTTACCACACTGTTTCCAGGAATACTTAGCCCATTCTCAATACCTTCATCTATAGCCCCATTCTTCAGGCTTCTATTTCAAGATTTTCTGCCAATAAAGCGCATATATATATATATATATATATATATATATATATATATATATACACACACACATTGTCTCCACTGTATGTCCCACTTTATCCTTACTTACACTTTGTGCACATAGTAGAGTATGCTGTTTTATATTCAGTGGTGTGAATACAGAATATTAGTTTCCTCTATTAAACTGTAAGTTCCATGAGGGAAAGGATGGTGTCTACTTTATGATTATCTTCTTAAGGCTCAATAGGTATTGGTTAAATAAGTTATTAAATGAATAGGTTAAAAAACAATGACATATACCCCCTTTTCCCCCTGTAACTGTAGGTAATGCTACATCTGAGATTTAGAAGTATTTATATGCTATTCTGGGCTCATTCATTTTGAACTCACTTCTGGGGTTTTCTCATTCTCAAATTCAGGCAGCTGTAGTTTCTTGTGAGAAGCTATGGTTGACATGATTTTGTCTATTCCAGTGGCTTCTGCTTTGGATGTACTATTTGTTATAGTTTTCATCTCAAGACCACTCCAACAAGGACAAAACCATGCATTGAATGCTCAACTCTGCCTGAAATGGTGGCTATTTCTTTGCAAAGAGTAGCCTAAAGCTGCTTTACTAAAGAGTTCTGAGCATGGCTTTTTTTTTTTTTTTTTCACACAGCAGTATTGAGCTTGGGAGGTACCATGGGAAACAGGCCCATGCCTCCTGGAGAGAGTATATATCTGCTGCATTTGAGATCCAAATCTGGTCTTCACTAGCTTCAAGAAGAGAAAGGTCATTACTGGGTGAAGGAGGCTCATTGTGGAGATAAACATCCCTGTATTTGGAACAGGAAGAAAGGGATAGAAGTCAGGGGACATGTCTGAAGAGAATTGATTTTTAAGCTGCATCCTGCATCTACGTTGGTGCTGAGGGTTGGGGAGATAGGGCTATGTAGCATGAGCTAAGGATGCGGTCGAGGAATTGATGTCAGCAAAGACCTGTGGGTTGTTTGCTGAAAAAAACTCAACTAAATATCTGGACATAAAAACTCATGTCTCTTAGAATATTCAATTCATGAACTATGAGAAGAGTGGTCAACCCCTGAACCCTCAAATTTGAATAGTCTAGATAATGACTTCAATTCATGGCTGAGATGTACCCAGTGTATGTTGTAACCTATCCTAGATTTTCTACCTTATTTAGGTAGTAAGTAATGATATAGTGTAAATTTCATGACTTTCTTTCTAGGTTTTTAATCAAGATATGCGTGTGTGTGTGTGTGTGTGTGTGTGTATTTAAATCAGTTTGTTAATCTTTCCCAGATATATATCTAGATCACAAGACTTGTTTATGTGGAGAGCTATGACATTCTAAAGAGCTTCTGCGGGTGGTGGGTGTGCAGCCAGGGAAGAGGCAGTACTACATTCCACATGGGGGTCAGCCTTTAGAGGCAAAGCCCTGGGCACAAGACCCAATTTTGCATTTACAAATGTGTGACTTCATGCAAGTCATATAACTTCTCTGACCCTCAGTTTCTCTCCACTAACTTTGGGGTAGTAATAAAATTGATTAGCTCATTCATCTGATAGGATTATTTACCTAAGGTAACTTATATGAAAGAACTCCAAACATCATGAAAAAGAAGCATTAGATGTTTTAGAATCAGTGTACTCTTGAAGGATTTTATTTTTTTTTCAATTGTCACCTAATAAGTGTATACATTCACAGTGTGCAATGTGACAGTTTGAAACATGAATACATTATGTTAGGATTAAATCAGGTTATTAATTTATCCATCGCCTTAAGCACTATCATTTCTTCAATGTGAGAACCTCCAAAATACTTTCCTGTAGCCATTTTGAAATATGCAATATATGATTGTTATCTGTTGATCTGTTGTCATCCTATAGAACACTAGAACTTATTCCTTCCAGTTAACTGTACCTTTTTGCCTATTGGCTAATCTCTTCCCATACCTCCTTCCCCAGCCTCTGGTAACCACTATTTCACCCTCTACTATTTTTTTTCCCCTAGGCACTGCTCTTCCCTGGGGATTGAACCTAGAACCTCATGTATGATAGGCAAGTGCTCCAGCAAGGAGAAACAACCCCAGCCCTTTCTTTAAATTTTATTTTGAAGTAGGTTCTTGCTAAGTTGCTCAGGATGGCCTCGAACATTCCAACTTCCTTCCTCAGCCTCCTGAGGAGCCAGGACTACAGGCATGTGCCCCTGCAGCCAGCTGCTCTCTACTTCCATGACATGAACATTTTTAGGTACCACATAGAAAAAGTATACCTTGAAAAAACGTGACAGGTGATATAAGTTGAATGGAGGAGACCTTCTCAGCTCAATGTCATTTGGAAGTTCACAATGACATATTTCTAATATGGCAGTATAGTGAGACATTGAACATTTCTAAGAGCAATGAAAATTTACTTATTATGTTGCAGGTTTATAATTTAGAAGGTAGTTGAAAGTTATAAAGCTTAAAAGTAAGCCTCCGAGATAAAGATAGATAGAAAGTTTTGATTTTGAGTAAGGAAGGTATAAAGTGAATGTTTATGAACTATTTTCTGGTAGCTCTTTTTGGGCTATATTTGTAAATTAGTTAGCATTAGAATTTCTTCCCAGAATATAGTAACAAACTTGCCTTCAAATGTTTTATTTAACCTGGCAGTACCTAGAGAAACTAGGGGAAATTAAACCTCATTTACATATAACCAAAGACTTAAAAATTAATATGAAAATATGACAAATCTAAAAATGTAGATCATCTGGGTGCAGTGGTATATACCTGTAATCCCGGTGACTCCAAAGGCTAGGGCAGCAGATCTATAAATTAGAGGTCAGCCTCTGCAACTTAGAGAGACTCTATCTCAAAACAAAACATAAAAAAGACCTTGGAATGTGATTCAGTGATGGAGTGCCCCTGGGTTTAATACCCAGTACCAGAAAAAAGTACATCAAAGTCAGTATTAAAAACCATTAAGATCTTTTTGATATAAAATAATTTTCTAAAAACTCAAATTGGATTTGAGTTTTTAGAAAATTATATCATAACAAAGAAGATAGAGATTCTCTCAAAAAATGAGAAATTATACCCCATCTGATTCAAATGTATGATATGTCAAGATCATTGTATTGTCATGTGTAACTAATTAAAACAAATAATAAAAAAAAGAAGACAGGGATTGATTTTTTTTTAGATAGCATAAATTTAGGAAGCATTTGGTAGGTAAAACAAACTGGGCTATTTATGACTGGCAGGGAACTGAAATGTAGAATCAGAACAGTAATTAACATCTTCATAAGTAACCTGCCATAAAACAATTTATTTATTTTTTCTTCTATTTCTGTTTTTTCTATCTTATCATTTGGGGCATCATTTTTTTTCTCTATCTAATCTCAAGATCCTCAGGAACAAAAAGGAAACAAATACTAAACTATTACACAGATGGCTTTGGTAATGCACCAACTATAAGTGATTGGATTCGTTGGTTCTCTGGTCAAAACTTCAGTCAGTAGGTACATGTAGGATGCTAACATTCTCTTGCCATGAGAAACTTACAAGATCCAGTTGAAAAGATAAATTTTATTTTGAGGTGGGAGGAATAATCCACTAAAAGATGACCAAATAACCACTGTGTAGGAGAAGATTCATCCACCCAAGGAGAGGCTGAGTAGGTGATCCAAAACTAATTGGGAAGATGAAATACACAACATTGCTTGCTGGGCACAAAGTAACCGCTGGACATTTTTCCAAAGTGCCCAGTGCCTGAATGCTGGCATTTGTACTTTGCACCTCATCCATTCAGAGCAACCCTCTTGGCCAGATGCCTCTTGAATATCAGGGTACTGCTCTCACCACTACCTTTGAAATCCATTTCCCTCCTCTTGAGTAGAGTCCTTTGCATGAAGGTTAACCCACAGTTGGGGTTGCTTAACTCAAGCTCAGAAAGCACACACTGCATATTTAAGAAATAGTTTACTCGTGAATCAGTAAATGTACTAGACAAAGCAGCTATTACTTATGCATTCCTGCATACCCGGCAAGGTGAGAATAATAGAATAAACATCATATACTTCATTATGATATCGGTTTACACTTCCAGGGTACACAAAAAGAGGCCATTTCATCAAGCTAATTGCCTGAAAGTAAAAGAGAGAGAACTTTAGCTATTAGTCTATTATGGGGCTTTTTTCTTAATCACAAATAGGGGCCGTGTGTCCCTGGGGGGATGTGTATTCTAATTTACAATTGAACTACAGATCAGAGCAATCAATCTTGGGCAGCACTTTTACAGTGTAATTGCTGCAACATAACAAATAAAAAGAAAAGAAGGAGAAGAAGAAGGCCTAGGCTGAGCTTCTGCTTGAGGTAGAGATATTTCCAGGCACTAGCTCAGGGTGGGAGGGAGAGAAGAACCACCGTGTACATGAATATGCAATGAGGGCTCATTAGCGGCCTAGTGTTGCCATGACGAATGGCATTATCCCCGGCCTGGTGCTGCCTAAACATGAATTTTATAACGACCCATTTATCATGACTTGTCATGGGTTTCTGTACTGTGCTGTCTTCCAGCTCACACACCTTTCCCTATTATGGTGGTAGAAATCTTTCCTTTTATTATTATTGTTTCCTTTTGTATTGATTTCTGGCTCTTTGAAGCAAGTGTTCAAACAGGAGCAACATGCTAATGAGTGATTTGCGACTTTCAAAGTTGAAGAACTGAAACTTGATTTTTCATTCCATCTTCATTATAGGCATATCATGGGAGATGGAGTTGGACTAAACTTTGAGATGAGTTCCCCCATGGTGAGCTTTGAATTGTAGCATGTTGACATGACAATGATTATTATTTTTAAAAAATGATAATGAACTAAAGTATTTTCCCTTGGTTTATTTTATTCCCCTTTTCTGTATTTCACCATTCTTTCAATAACTTCAATGTACAACTCAAAAAGTTTTGATGTCTTTTCCAAAAATCTTGGAACTATTACAAAAAAGCATAAAATTACAGTATCTGAAAGATTTTTAGTGGTTAGCATCTCAGCACATGAGTTGATTTCTCACTTAGAAACCTTGTTATATTGTGGGGAGGAAGACTGCCCAAAAGCTTGATCTTTGATGACAGCTTACCAATAACCAAAATACCTGAAAGCAATCTCCCATGACAGGCACCATGAGGCCTGTAGGGACATTCAGCTGCCACAGAATTGCTATTTGCAAAGGCAGGAGTCTTTGCCATTAACCAGGAGGGAAGGTCGTGTATGAGTGCAGAAAAGTCAAGTCCACCAGTCAGCCAAGAATAGGGTCCTAGATTGGCAGAAGCACTCTTCTGCAGTCAGAGAAAAATCTGGGGCTTGATAATTTGTCTATCTTATAATACAAAGAACAGTGCCAAAACTGGTTCTTGGATTCAAATAGGCAAAGCACCAAAGCAAAGTGAGTTAGAGTCTGGTTTAGTCATTCTGGTATATAATTTATAAAGACTCAATAGTTTTCCAGCTCTCTTCAGCATGGATATCTCTCCTGTGAGCCCTTGGATTCCATATTCATAACAAGGACACTTTTTCATAGTGATACTATTTTTATAACAATGCTTTATAAAATTAATGTTAAAATATTTTGTATATTAATAATAATTTTATTTTTATAAAACATTTTGACTCTGCAGAGTTATTTCATCAGATTCTCAGGTTATTATTTCCTTTTTTTTTCTTTATCCACAGGTAAGGGTCCAACCCAGGGCCACATGAATGCTATCCAAGAGCTCCACCACTGAGCTACACCCCCAGCCCTATTTCCATTTTAAAGAAGAGAAAAATGGAGGCTCAGAGGTAAAGTGATTGACTGGCTTAAGGTCACAAAGAAAATGAAAATGCTGAGGCTCACCATCAAGCCTCTAGATCCTTAGGTCTGTACTTCAATGTACCCAAAGTCACAGAGCAGAAATTGTTCTTAAAATTTCAAATTCAGTCATCAGGACCTTCAAGGATATCAAAATCTGTGGATGCTCAAGTTGTTTGTATAAAAGAGTGTAGTATTTGCATATAATCTACATATATCCTCCTATATATTTTAAATCATCTCACCAGGAGTGGTGGTGCACGTCTGTAATCCAAGCCACTTGGGAGGCTGAGGGAGGACGCTCACCAGTTAGAGGCCAGCAACTTAGTAAGACCCTGTCTCAAAACAAAAATAAAAAAAATAAAAAAGGCTAGGAATGTTGCTCAGTGGTTAAAATGCACATAAAAATGCAGATAATAACCCTGGGTTCAATCCCCGGTATCCCTCCTCACACTGAAGAGACCTGGAAATCTCTGGGTGACTTTTAATACCTAATACAATGTAAATATTAGGTAAATAGTTGCTATCCTGCATTGTTTAGGGAATAATAGCAAGAAAAAGTCTATACATATTTAGTACATACACATTTGTTGCTGAACACTTTTTGATCCATGGTTGATTGAATCTGCAGATGCCTAGCCCATGGATATGAAGGGACAACTGTAGTCTATTTTAGGATTTAGTAGTGAGTGAATAGATTGGGAAGGAAGCCTACTGAAAAGATGGTTGTCATTTACCCCCGAGAGTCTGTGACTTTGACATGGCTTACTAGAATTGAAATTAGAACATGCATGTCAATTAAAAGTAAGTTGTCGATTCCCTTCATTTAAGCTGAATTATACTTCATCATTTTAAAAATGCAGATATGAAATGTTTTGATAACAACTTGGGTACAATTCTGGATAGTATTCTTGTATTATAAGACTATTGGACATTAGACTTAAGTTCCTGAAAAATATATCCTTGCTTTCCCTGTGAGAGAATTAAATAGGATTTTTAGAAATGATTCTGTGAAGAAAGACTTCAGATATTGGCAAATGATGTTTTAAAACACTGTGGTTGTGACTAAAAAGATAAAGGCTGTGTCTATATGACACCAAACATCTGGATAAAAAAAGGAAAAATAGTACTAAAAAACCCCCATGTTTTGTTTACTTGACACTTACACATCTGGAAATTTAAAAACATCTGGGTTTTTAACTCATCCCCCCTTCCTGGGTTTCATCTGGGTGTATAGAAAGGTGAAAAAAGAAACTCAGTACCATTATTATGAAATTAGATAAAATTATTGCATTCAACTAATCTGAAAACACTAATTATTTTATTTAACATAATATATAATGAATAAAATTCTACATCATGCAAGTAGATAAAAAAAGATGCAATTAGGTGATTTAAGGAAAAAACTTGGCTTAAAGCATATGTAAATCTTGATTATAGTTTAGACATTTATTTGAGCAAAAATCTTTTTAGGTCCTGAGACAACCATTTTCTCTCTTAGGGAATAGGTTCCCCATGTTTTTTTGAGGCTCTGTGTTTTGACAATAGTAAAATTTAGTAAACACTTAGTAACATATGAGTTACATCTAGTAATAGACGTTTCCTTTGCCAAATGAATTATCCAAGCTGATAAAATCAGTGTAAACCCACTCTCGGCAGCCTTCTGACATGCCCAGGAATGAACCCCAAAGAGAAATCACATGAAACTGAACTTCAAAGACTTTGTAGCAGTGAAAAGCACCTTATGTGATTGACATTGTGTGTGTGTGTGTGTGTGTATGTGTGTGTGATCTCATCTAAAAAGTTATCATAATTATTGAACATTTCCTCTGTAGCCTGTTCTCAATCCAATCAGTTATAATGAAAATAGTCTGCTTGCTTTTTATAGTCTCAAGTTTTCAAAATGATTAGTGCTTCCTTGAGATATCCCATTAATTGGACACACAACCCAGATGAAAAGGCTGAAGCCCAAGAGTATATGAAAAAACATAAGGTTGTTGCAATTTAAGTGCCTTCAAAAGATCTAATTTGATTTTTAAAAGCAATTCTGCAGATGTGAAAATTAAAGGCACGCAGAAACAAGATATGGTTTAATGACTGTGTAGGTTAAGAAACATTTAAAGGTTTTAGTAGCCTTACACCAAAAAAGAAATTTTTTTATTTAGCTGTTAGCTTGAAATGATTTGATCCACAACACAATAGAAATTGCTGGATTTTATGGGCCACTATTTCCTTTATTGAATGCTCCATTCTTCTCCAATGTGTTTCTGAAGCAAGTTGATATTTCTGTCTGCAGATTTTCAATCCCAGTCCCCGTCGATCTGATTTCAAATTCTAATAAAGTAAGTCTCTCCACTTGGTTTGTCTTACTGTTTCATCTATGAGCCCATCCCCCATCTCCCCCCACCCCCACAAATTGTGCATTTATTCCCACTTAAAAAAAAGAAAGAAAAATTTTAAAAAGCCCTTTGCATTGCCTCTAATGACATCTTCAGTCATTAATGAGTTAATAAAAATCTCAAAATCATCTGGGCTAGATAAGGAGGAAGAAAGAAAAGTATTGTGCTGTAATGACAGGCTCGGCTGCCCTCTGAGATGTCATGGGTCAGTCATGTTAAGAATGTGTGCGTCCAATCATCTGCTGATTTTTATCAGCAAGCCCTCCAGCAGGAGCCGACAAGAGCCAGTTTGGGAGTCACAATGAATAAACAATGGCTTTTTGGATTGTTGGGGGCTGTGTAATAGAGTGAGGGGTTTATATATACTAAAACATGATGACATTAGCAATCAATATACCAATTACTGGACAAGTTATTGCATGAGGCATTCACGTGTCTTCAGACATCTAGTGGGGAGAGTCCTGGTGCACAGAGGCAGACAAGGGTCTAAGACCTGAGGTCCTGATCTAAAAGCCAAGCCCAGCTTCTCTGTCTGAAGGACCTCAGACCTGAATGATCTGAATCACTTAAGGAATCTATTAAAAACACAGATTCCCGAATCTCCTTCCTAGCGATTTCATCCCAGGAGTCTGGGAGTAGGGCTGCTAGGGCTTGGTGATTTTCACAAAGGCTCCAGGTAATGCTGATCAGGCAGGTGAGAGAACTGCTATACAGTTGTGATAGCCAGCCCAGCAGCCTCAGTATCAGCTAGGAGCTTGTGAGAAATGCAAATGCTCAGGCCCTTCCCCAAAATCTGCTTGAAGCAGTCTGCAGGTGGTTCTGATGCACTTTGCAGTTTGACACTTGGGTTTTAAAATTAAGATTCTGACTTTTGGGCCCTTCGTGGACAATTTTTCTCTCCAACTAGTTGGCAGGGTAAAGTTTGCAAATGATTTACTTAAAAAAATTAAATTAGGGTTGATCCAAGATTATCTTTATAATCATGTCATGTTCATTCATTTGTACACTGCTGGATTTTCTTGAATGATCTTGATTACAAAAAGGGAAGGATAAACATAGATCTAGTCTATTCTTTAAAACAGAAAAGGAGGGTGGATTTGTAAACATTTTTTAAAGAAAAGAAAAGAAAAGAAAACGGGAATCCATAAGGAAAATGAAGCTTTGGTTTGATGTATAACTAATATTTGTCTGGGCATTATATGCCATTTGGGAAGCCCACGAGGCTCTTTGTATAGATGAATGAGATCTACTGTTTTTATTTTTAATATTTACCTGCTTTCATCAGGAGAGAAGAGTGATATGGCTGGTCCAAAGTTGACATATGATGAGAAGGTACATGGCAACCATCTTCTTGTAGCAGGGGTAGAAACTTCTTTTATTTTGGTTAAGAGTTTTCCTGAAGGGGAGTTTGATAATCTTTCACAAGAGATGGACTAGTTTGCTAGATAAGCCCTAGTTTAAATCAATATTCCACAGAATATGTTTCAAAGAATATGATTCTAAGCATTAATACAAAAAAATAAATAAATGAATGTCTGGTGTCAAGTGAGAAACAGTAGGCTAAAGTGAATAAGATAGGATTGTGTCCAGTGGGGCTACCCATGCACTGTGCATCTCCAGAAGAGCTCACTCAAAGGATTTGATCATCAAAACCTTTTTATAAAGAGCAATCTTATAGAATTTCTGTCTCAGGATCAACTTTGAGGACTCATGAGTTCAAATATTTAATATAGCAAATATCTGTATAAAGAAGTGAGTTCTTTGTGTTTTATAGCAAAGAAACTTTTTATTATAATTCATTAAATCCTCTGTATCTGGCATCAGGATTACTTATGTGGTGGCTTTAAGCCAATAAGAAGGTTCATGTGACCATCACCAAAGAGTTAAATAAGTTGTCTTGCTGTTGATGGTCTGGCTAAATTATCCCTGAGTTGTTGGCATATCTCCCAGAATAGGTACTCATTATATAAAAGAAAAGAAAAAGGAAGAAAAAAAAACTTGGGTTTTACTAATGAGATTACACTGTGTTTTTATATATGAAGGATAATTTCATCCTGATTCCTTATAACCAGAAACTGCATGCAAAACGAGATGTGTCTCTGACTGAGCCTGATGTTGAAAAGTATTTTTACCCCCTTTCATGGACAATATTGTCCTTGTCCTTTCCACCTCACTAGGTTCCAGGTGGCCATGACTGTGGCAGTCCTCTTTGTTCCGAAGCTGGCTATTTCTGAAGGTGATGGAGTTTGGGGGTGTATTCTAGGGAGATCAGGCCAGTGGGGATTTTAAGCACATCACTGGTTGTAAAATTTTTTTCTCTTGAAGTTACTGCCAGAACTGTGCATTAATGCCAAATGTTAATTCTTGCTGAGGACGTGGTGTCTTATAAATGTTATGAAAGAATATCATTTTCCCTGTAGAAGTGAAGGTACTTTTAAGGCCATGTTAAGAAAGGGGCAGGTTTCCCAAGTTACATCTGCAGGTCACCTGCTTGCCTATAAATTGCTTCTAGGGCTCAGTGCACCCCTCCCCCCATCGTTACACAATAGTTAGGAGGAATTCTCGCATGGGAGACAGAATGGAATGCCACTGACATTTGAAAGATGTGTAAACATTAAAAACAAAACAAAACAAAACCCTAAAATGAGAAAATCCCACCCATCCCTGCTAATATTTGTCATCTTTCTACACAGTCCTAGGAGCCTATACAAGACGCAGAACTCATTAGGATGTGTCCTGAACTAAAAATAATAGAGCAGACTCGACTTTGGGAGGTCTTAATGGTTTTTTTTTCCATCTCCTTTGTAAATATATCCCTGTTGACACCACATGTGCTTCCCAGCTTTCCAGGCACAAGGCGCTTGCATGAAGGGATTCGCTTTGCACCCTGGCAGAAAGGAGCAGAAGTTCAGCAAGTGAACCGAGATCTACCCAACTGCTCGTCTGGTTTGTTATGTAGTTGAATATTTCTCCCCTTTATATTCTTTGAAATGTTTTGAATTAAAATAGCTTACTCAAGGTCACTGAAGGCATATGGTCCTGCTCAAAACTTTAAACAAAACATTAGTTTTTACAACCTTTAGTAATTTGGTATTGTATACAACATGGTTATATGCAGAGTTTCTGTAATCTTTTCAGTGGGTGACAGAAATATAAGAAGCAAATTTATAAGCCATTTAGTGAAGCATTTAATCAATTTCATGCATAGGAAATAACTCCGATTGCTTGGCTTTATCAATCTTTCTCTCCAGCGGAACTGGAGTCAATGCGATCACCAAACACAGCCTGGGTGGGGGAGGGGGAGGGGGGCAGGGAATAGGCAGGCGCCTTTTCCTACGTGCACATGGAAATGTCAGGGACTTCTGAAGTCTGCCTGACACTGTTACCAATGTCTATGAGCCTTCTGGAGGCTGTTAATGTATTTCAGAAAGAGAACATGGTCTAATGTTTAGAGGAAGTTTTCAAGGCCTTTTACTGTAAAGTTATTCATTAAACACCCTTTTCCCAGAGTGACTCTCACGTGCTCAGCCATGCAGATTGTGTTCAACTTTAGGGTCCAAGAAGTATTTTTTTAAAAAATCCATTTCAGTGGTTATTACTTGGAAACACACGAAAAAAAAAATAACACGACTTCCATTAAAATGCAACTCATGATTTAAGGAGTTGAAGCTATGACTGAAATAACTGAATTACTCCAAAGTGCCATGATACAAGTAGAGCCTTTTTCAGAATATTTGATCTTTTAGGGATCGTGTTTTGGTTCTTTTTTGAATGGCTCGAAGGATTAATCCAGCCCGTGACAACAGAGTGGGTTAATATTTTCTTTGCTGTTGTGTGCTAAAATTCCTCCTATGACACTTTACTCCAAACACCATCAAGTTCTTAAGTGAAAAAGTCCTGAGGGAGCAAAAGCCGATCTTGCTGATAATCATTATCTGCTAGACTATATTAAAATTGCATTAGCTCTACCTTGTCCTCTAAAATTGAAACTGTTATAAAGGTACTGTAGACATAGCTTCTAATTTAGAAAATAATTTGCTTTCACTTATTTCTGAGCCCAGAAAAAATATTTCAGTTGAATAAATTTCTATCCAGATTAGTTAGTTCTGATTTTAAATCAGTTCCATTCATGGATCTCATCTCAGCCTGCTGATGTTTCACACTCTTTTTTAGAAATGACACATGCAAGGATTTTCCTGTGTTGGCAATTCAGGGCATGCCATTTGATATTTATTTTGCCACACTACTTAAGTTGTGGAGCCCCATGATTATACTGAACAGAGTTGCCTTGGTAATCCTGCATAGAATTGGCAGCTTTCAAGGAGATTGGCAGAAGGAAGTAGGGTATTTGGTCTGTCTGTCTGTCTACCTACCTATGTAGCTGTTACTCAACCATTAACTTCTCCATTAGACCAGCAATCATTTTGGAGGACAGACATTTTTTTTATAAGATCTAGTAAGTCAGAAAATCCACTTTTTAATACTAAGGAATTAAAAATTCTCAAATAAAATTTGAAACACACAATTGCCATATACATATTCTTGTAATATAATAGAATTAGAGGATAAAGGTGGAGTCCTCCTTGCCTCCACCTCCAGTTCCAGTTGTTTTCTCCACCTCCCTGATGTCAAAAGTGCACGCTCACCAGTCAGTTTCCCATCCAAAGGAATCTCTAAAACAAATATCATAATGCACATATCATAATGCATGTATCATAATGCACGCATCATAGTGCACTTGCTATTTTCATTCAACAGTGTCTTGGAAATTTTATCTACTTGGTAGAAACAGGTATAATTCATTGTTTCTAAGTGCATTAAGAATTTCCTATGGAATGGTTAGATCAGTACTCCCTGAGTTATTCCAATATAATGTACACCTAGGGTTTTTGCATCTTGTAGCTATTCGTAAATAGCATTGTAGTGAATACCTTTTTACATATTTTCTTTAGTGATTCTCATAACAGAAATAGTACTCATAAGTAGTTCTCTAGCATAAGTACTTAAAGTGGAATTGTAGATCATAAGTATACATATTTTATGTCTTATTAATTACTTCCAAATTACCTAGAACTTTTAGTCTTAAATGGGAATCACACCATAATTTCTGACGCAAGTTTTTAACTCTTCTTAAATCTACATTTCAGTGTATCTCCTCTCATTCTCTGTTAATAACTGCCTCTGCTTCTCCAAGAAGATGAAGGCCATCCTTGGGTATCCCTTCCTCTAGGGTAAGCTGGGTCAGGCAACCTAACCACTGGGGGCCTAGCCAGATGTTTAGAAATTGGGCTGCTCAGAGCCATCAAGGTGGCCTCATTCAGAGGTTGGGGAACATAAGGTCAAAAAAATAGAACAAAACAAAACTTATTCATCCTTTGAGCATGCATCAATAAATTAATGACACACATCCACTTCAATCATAATATGACTGTCCAGATTCAAATAATATTTTCAGCCAGATTTATGTATTTTTATTATATTCTTTTCTTGGGCTAGCTATAATTGATATGATTGGACCAAGTATAATTAAATAAAGTTCAAGCAGATTCCAAGATGTATTTTTGATTCTACCCTCTAAAGCAATGGGAGAATGTCGTCAAATTGAAGGTATGTTAAAACATTGTGCTACAGTTAGAGCTTGGTTCACCTCTGTTGTAATCACATGATGACCATGGAAGCCAAGCAAGTAACTCAGGACCTTCGAGTGGTAGAGGCACCACATACAGATTAATAACATATTTAAACTATGTTCTGTGTAGTAATTCAAAGATAAAAACATATTTTGAGTATATTAGTAGGACATGTACCTTCAGCTTTTTTTTTTTTTATTAGTAGTGGGCCTTGAACCCAATAGTCTCTCCCACTGGGCTACACTCCCAGCCCCCTTTATTTTCTTTTTTGGGGACAGAGTCTCAGTAAGTTGACCAGGCTGACCTCAAATTTGTGGTCCTTCTATCTCAGCCTCCTGAGTTGCTAGATTACAGGCAGTCCCCACCACACCCGGCTTGTCTTCCAGCTAATTTTTAAGATAAAAAGGATTGGTTTTATACCATTTTTCTTTCCTATCTGTTCCCCTCATGACTAATGGTACACACTTACAAATAGCTTAATGGAAGTTAGCAATGTGACAGCTAGGACCTTTGTTTAAGAGTAACTCTCAAATATGGAGGATTGAGTCTCTAGAATCTCTAAAATTAGATTTTAAAACTTATCTCTAATAATGAAAAATTGGAAGCCAACTACATATCCAAGAATTGTAGGTTGATTACAACCATAACCTATCAATATTGAAATATTATATGGTGATTAAAAATAATTGTCTACACCATTCCATCCAGCAGCCACAGTTCTCAGAATATATTCTTAGAAATAAAAGCACACAGCATTATTCTTGATGATTGAAAAATTAAAAATACAATTTTCCAACTAAAGAGACTTCCCATGAGTAGGATACATAGTAGGAAAAAAGTGGGGCATATTCACAACATGGAACACTCTGAAGTTATTTCAAAGAATGAATTATTCCAATGAATCACATGGAAAGATTTCTGAATCTCATTGTCAAAGAAGAAAAGACAGAAAAGTAAGACACAGAAGATCAGCATGTGCTTATTAGATCCCATTATTATATAAAAATGATACTTAAACATCCAATAAGCACATATTTGTTTTCTATTATATAAGATTAGATTTGAAAAGTATTAAAGGAAAATACTAGGATGGTAATTTGGCTTAGCAGAAGACTATGGTGGGATGCATGGAGAATGATGAGTATGAGGAAATAAAGATGTGAGAGAAAAGGGAACCCCCCACAAAATGCTATGAAGCCTGCAACAATATTGAAGAATGTTTTTGATGTAATCTTAAGGAATGTTAAAGGGCAAATTTATATGAAAAAAGCAAATTCTATGTATAGTGAGCGTGAACTTGACAGGGTGGCTGGTTTGGAAGTAATTTTATATTTCTTTAACTTTTATTTTAATATGATAAGAATGAGAAGATATTAAAATCCAAAGCATTGCTCTTGCTGTTTTGCTCCTGGATGCACAATGAGACTTAGAAGAATTCCTTCTTTCCTACCCCCAGAAAGGTGGCTGGAAGGATTCTCTTGAATTGGTAAAGAGCTCACACTATTCTTGCAAGCCCTGACCCCAAGATGGGCAAACTTATAAACAACCCCAATTGCCCATGAAGTGACTGGTTTAAACAAACTTGAAAGAGGACCTGAGGTTATCACAGCTTCCCTCACTACTGGAAACATATCCAGGTGTCCTGACCTTGAGAGACTAATGATCTTGTGAGGGGGCCCAGAAAATTGGCAGATAGGACTGCCAAAGTTCTTCACCCACCTTAGGGTGAACTTAGGGATACGAATGTGGTGTTTCACTTACAAAGATATTTTAAAGGTAAATTTTGGAAACACTTGAAATACCTGCCCATGAATTAGATGTTGAGCCTCAACAGAATTGAGGAGGTATTTATAAATGAATAGTTTGTTATTCTTTATCAGAGGATGTGGAAATCTAGAACATTGGATGAGGAATGAAGTTGGAGATAGAAACAGGGCTCTTACATTCCTCATTGGTTCACCAAGAGTGGCTCTTGACACTCTTATTTCTTTCTAAGATGAATATATGTTAGGAGAAGGACGTGGTAAACCAATCCTTTTTTTTTTTTTTTTTTTAATCTGTAAGGTGTAAAGGAAATCATATGGGGATTGATCTTATTGAAACACAGTTTCTAATTTAGTAGGTCTGAATTGAGTCTGAGACTGCATTCCTGAAAGGCTCCCAGGTGATGCAGACACTGCTGGCCCATGGACTATACTTTCGGCAGCAAGGTTTTACACCTGGGCACAATACATCTTGTTAAAAACCAGATGCTGGTGCTCTATACTCAAAGTTTCTGACTGAATGAATGCAAGACTCCTCCCCCCCTTTTAAAGCATCCAAGGTAATTTTATTGCACAATTCCATAAGAAATCACAGAATTCATATTCAAAATTGCACAACTGATTATGATATCATTTTTATACTTGATGTGTAGGGTTATATTTGTCACTGCTTGGCTCTTTCCTCAATCCTAGATAAAATAAATTACTTCCACCTCTGTACAACTTCTTTACTTGTACACTTGCATATTTCATATTCTATTATTACAGGCCTTAATTCCTTGTACCAGGCTCTCTCCCTCATCAATACACCCTTAGTGAACTTTATGTGCTTGGTTACCTCTTTTTTGAATGGGAATAAGCATTCACTTGTTCTGTATTTCTGACTTCAGGTTCTCCTCTGGTTAATAGACATGAAAATACTTTGCCTACTTTGGTGGAGATCAAATAGGAGATGATTTTTTTTTAAATTTTAGCTGTAGATGGACACAATATCTTTAATTAATTAATTAATTAATTATTTGTATGTGGTGCTGAGGATCAAACCCATGAATGTAAGGCAAATGCTCTACCACTGAGCCACAACCCCAGCCCTTAAATAGGAAATGATTTGTAAGAATGTCCGGAAACTGACATTGTTAATCAGTTACTCTAAGTTCTAGTCTATTCCTTGTCAAATTTGACATGACCTTAGACAAGTCATCTGAAGTCTCTGGTTCTCTCTTACACTAATAGCAAAGGAGTTTTAAAAAGTAGTATGTATGAAAAAATACTTAGGAGAGTTTTATTATCAGCAGTAGGAAAATATATTCTTTTTCATCTAGTTAAATTAATATTCAAAACTAATTGAACATTAATTACATGTTATTAATTTTTTCCATGGATTCTCCCATTAGCAATGTGTCTTACATTAGAGGGCTCTAATATGTAAGCATTGCTCACTGGTCAATGATTTTTTTCACCTAATCCATATGCTAAATTTTTATTCTCCTGCATGATTCCAGTTGGAGATTGATCATATTTTTTTCCCCTGAGGCACGTGGGAATGTCTAGCTTTTAGCTTATACAAGGCCATTGTGAAAGTAGAGTCCCATTAGCACTCTTTGTGCCTTGCTAGAAATTCAACGTTGCATACTTGTTTGTTTTGGGCTGGAGAAAGAAGCCAAAGATTGCATGTTGACATTGCCTGCTACTTCTAGGGCCACTTTATCCCATAGGGCTGTGAAATCAGCCTTCCTATTGTGTCATTCTTTTCCATTTGTGCATTCTTTGCTTGAATATTCTTTTCTATAGTAAACTACTGAAAGAAGAAATAAAGATAACTTTTTTTTTAACTATCTAGATGAAGACATCTACTGGAAAAGTTCAGCTGACAGCATTTAAATGTAAACCCTGAAAATCCCAGGTTAATGGACCCTTGAACCAGAAAAAGGTGAATTGGAAACGGTGAAGGCGACTGAGATGAGGAAGGTTAGAAACATGGGCCTATAGCCAATGGCCTGGGCTCTCTTATGGCTCTCTTGTCTTCTATCTGGAGATTCTTATGTAAGTTAGCTACCTCCCAAGCCTCAGCTTACTTTTCTGTGCAAAACGGGATAAAGGAGTCAGTTTGTTCTGCCAGAATCTATACTTGGCAGGAGCACAGATCTTTGTTCTTCTCACCAATGTACTACAAATGCCTACAACAGTTCCTGGCACACAGTAGGTACTCAGTTGGTCTTTTTTGAATGAGCAGAATGACTGAAAATATATGTCTTTCTCTAACCCCTTGAATGTCTCTTTACCTGCTTTCTATGAAGTGTGCTATTTCAGAGGAATGTTCTTATTGTTCTTTAATAGTAAATGGCCCCAGAATTTTGTTTACCAAGCAAGGAAAAAAATAACTAATGGCACTGTTAAAAGTCTAAATACTTCTGTGGACTGTCACATCATCTCTAATGTTTATTGGCTTGAACTGAAGTAGATGCAACAATTCAAAGCTTCCACCAAATTTAGTCTTTTTTTCCCCCCTTTCACTGTTTGCAAAACAAGATATTTTATGGATGTAATTTATACATTGAATAGAAGAGAACTATTCCCAATATTATCTTTATCTTCTCCACATAAATAACAAACAACTCCAGTAATCAAAATTTACTACAATTGTAATAGATTTTGGCAGAGTTTATATATTGTATGTGATACTAACATAATGCTGACTTTCAGGGATAGGGGCCAGGATTTCTAGTTTGGCTTTGTTAAGTGGAGGAAAAAAAATTTCACTACTGTATTCTTAGTTTTTACTGCATTCAAGAGATTAATTCCCGTAAATAAAATTGTTTATACCAGATTCTAATCAGAAAGTTGAAATTATCTGTGGCAATGTAACCACTAAAAACTTGTATACTATGAAAATATTTCAATAATTAATGCATGCTCCATCTAGAGTAGTTGATAGTGAGGTCATAAACGTAATGGGCCATCTGTGTTTGATTTGTACATGAAAATGCTTAAAGGGATAGGCAGGTAATTTAAGCTTCATGGGCAAGGAAGATTTGTTCCAACTTCTCCAAGTAGCAGAGATGTTTATTAGATTTTCCCTTCGTTTTTCTTAAAGTCTTTTCCAGATCTTTTCTTGAGCTCTGCACTTATTGTTTCTCCTTCTAATGCAATAATCCCTTTTAGAGTTTTTCAGCATACATTGTTCTCTTAGTTATCCTCAAATAATAATACCTGGCTCTTTTCGTCATTTCCATGGCAACTTAAAAGCCAGATGTCCGACTAAAAAATATTAGGGGCTCACATAATGCTATGATTTTATTTATTCTACTCTCTTGGATGGCTTCAAAAGTGTCTTTATTTTTTGGCTTTCTGTTGGTAAACAATTAACCCACCCTGCTTGTATCTGTTAATGCACATTAGCAACGCAAACTTTAGTGAGAGTTTCGTAGCTTACCTCATTGAGAGTGGACCATAATCTCCTTATTTCTGGATATAATATGGTAGTGGTAGACATCCAAGAAAGTTTTAGAATTTTCTGTGTAAGAAAACCAGAGCGTTCTCAATGATTGCCTGAAACAATGTCTCATCACCAGACCCCAAAACCTGTGTAAGAACACATATTCATCTATAATTTACTGAGTGTTTATCACCTGCAAGGCTCCGTACTAGGCACTGAATATGTAATGACCTGAACCAACAGGGTCTTTTGTCTTCCTTGATCTCCTGTTCTAGCAAATGCAGTTTCCTCCCTGCACATCTCATAGATAGCATAAACTCTACAACTGGAAGATTCAATGAACAATATTCCCTGACACATCCCTTCTAGACCTGCATCTCTTCCTGCTTTATTTGTTTTGGGAAAATATGCCACCATCCTTCTATCCGGTTTCCCAAGGCAATCCAGGGTTACCCTACTCTGTCCCCTTCTTCTTTCTCCTTCATCAAAGCAATGCACAGGTTCTGTCAGAGCTAACTGCTCTTTATTGCCCCACTCTCCATCCTTCTCTCCATCCCTATCACAGCCTTAATGCTTAGTAATTTTTTCCCCTGTTAAGCTGCAATAGATCCAGTATCACTGCCTTATGAATCTGTTCCCCATACTGCTGCCTGAGTGATATTTTAAGCATTAAAATGCTAGCGGGATTATGTCATTTCTCTGTAAAAAGTCTTTATTATAAGGATTCTACAATTGCCTTGGAAACAAAACCCAAACTTAACATGGTATGTACATGGAAGACCTTTGATAAGAGGGCCTAGGCCTAACTTTTTACAATGCTAATTCTTTCCACATACCCTGCTATCTGGTTATAAGGATATAAAAAATGATATCACCTTTGATGCAAATCTTGTAACTAGCCTTTTCCACTGAACATATCATTAAATATATCCACATCACTGGACCTATTTAGGTTTACATGCTTGAATAAGAAGCTATTGTTTGTCAAGAAGTCATGTTGCATGCTACGAATTTGCTGATATACTGCTTTTAAAAAATTCAAATATATAGACAACTGACAATAATGTATAAATACATCAAGTTAGCACAACTCTTTGTTTAAAGAAAATGGATGTGTGTCTTGTAAGCAGGTCAGTTCCATGTTTAATAAGAGAAATAGGTGGTCAAGTTTGGAAAGTGAGATGAAGATTTTGAAATTATTTGGTATAAAAGAATGACACTGTGCTTTCGAGATTAATTGCTAGACATTTGATTCCCAACCTTCTGCTGGGGATGGTCATAATTCCCCAAGCTCTTGACTGTAGGTGAGACACCTGGAGCTATGCTTTGGCATATTGTGGGCCTGGGGAGAGTTGGTACCCATTCAATTAGCTAAAAGAACTAACAGCTCAGAACATGAGAATGGTAAAGGTGGGCAGTGTGGGGGAGTGGAACATATAATGGGACATAAACTTCCATACCTGTTGCCACTGTTGAATTTCCCCATGCCCCAAACCAAACACGTGGCTTGCACAAGCCAATAACTTGGTCTTTAAGCAAGATCACAGTTCTGCTAATGGGATTGTGCCAGGGGAGAGAAATCCAAAAGTCTTGGACAAATGACTCATGACTGAGGTAGAACAAAAAGAGAGAGAGAAAGATTAACCTGAAACTAATAAGCATTCTCAAAGATGTATCATTGAGATACCATGAAGATCTTTGGACCCTAAAGTCATGATTTCTGAATTAAAATATTCATTAGATGAATAAAACAACAAGTGTAATTTATACTGGCAATTGAATTAGAGATCTGGAAAATGAAATAAATCGAAGCACAACATGCCACAAAGACAAAGCACATGGGTACAAAGATATGAGATGAAAAGCACACAGTTAGGAAATTTGACCTACAAATACTGAGTCATCCAGAAGCAA